AAGAAACATAAAAATATTGTCATTTAAAATTACAAATTGCCATACCATTCAAAGTTTCTATGTAATAAGGAAGGATACCTAGCGATGAACAGGTGGATCATGATATTGAGGTTCAATGGGTAGAATTGGAGCAGAAGTTTCATTTAGGTCCCTAATGGGTGCAAAACAACCCAGTAGTTGATTCGCCCCTTAAACCAAATCACCACCTTTCACCTTAAAAGTTGTCAATTTAATTTTGGCCATATTCCAACTCCATTTACACTAAATATCAGATATTGCAGTTGAAAGTTGGCTGCTCGGATTTTGGCAGTGTTCGTGATTTGGCCATTTACCCTACACCATGTCTATTTTAATGGATAATATGCATCAATAACATATTAACCATAGGGAAATAGAAATAAATATATTACCTGCATGTGACGGTTTCGGTTAGACAGAGACTGACGGGCAGCCTGAAAAATATTTCCACACAATGTGCATTTGAGACGTGGGATGGGGCTAAGCTTTTATAACTCCTTATTCTACGTCTTTTGATTTTTTGGTAAGATGACGTCATTGATTATCATGTAGTATGGTAGATCATCATAAAATAAATCGGTTGTACAACACCAATTTTGTTTTAATTATTATTTCATTTGAAATAAAACCACTTAATAATATTCGGTAAAATATTTTAAGACAAATGAAATATATTTAATATGTTATGCTTAGGCTCTCAGGAGAAAAGGATCAACAAAGGTTCTGCTGCAAATTAAACAATGCAGCAAATTAGCTATTAATTAGTAACGTAAACGTAATTAGCGAGACAAAAACGGCACTTTTGTTTCAGTTATTTTTGTAGGGGTTTCAGACATTTGTAGAGTTCAGTGGGTTGTATCTGAGGACATGTGGAGATGTGAATTATTAATTAATCACACTTTATTAGTATATAGGGCCTTGCACTTTATCATCTGGATAAAAAAAAAACGTTTCCTGCTGAGTGCAGAAAGGTAGGTAGGTGCATCGCCAGGCTCTATCACCAGGATTGGAGCAGTTATTGCAGTTGAAAGTCAAAGTTGGCTGTTCATGTTTATGCCCTGTTCTTTATTTGGCCATCTACCCCATATTGCAGTTGTGATGACAAGCAGTTTTCAGTGTAGTTTTGTGATCTATGATGTCATCAATTATTGTCATTATTTTTTGTCAACTAAAACTTATTTGAACTTTCCATTCAATCGACTCAATCATACGAGTCACTCTAATTTTCGGGAATCAAATCAGTCAACCAGTCGCTAAAGTCAAACGAGTCAGTCAACCAGTCATCTCGAAAAGTCAATCGACTCAATCCAATCAACTCAAAATACGCGTTGAAACAAATCAATCAATTCAATCGACTTGATTGGTATACAACCCTGGTCCCTTCCCCGCTTAAATTACTCGCGCTTCCAAATGAACACCAGGAAGAAGGTAATAGAACACTGTTAGGAGGGTTGGGTGTTTTACTACATGTAGCAAAACACCCAACCCTCCTAACAGTGTTCTATTACCTTCTTCCTGGTGTTCATTTGGAAGCGCGAGTAATTTAAGCGGGGAAGGGACTAAATTAACTTTCCTCAAGTGCTCAGATATGTACTGTGCAATTACACCGCTAACGGTGTTAATATTTTTCTGTGTGCAGTTCCCTGACCTCACTCCCCACCCTCCCCAGCCGATCTTGACCGTGCTCTAGGGTCACAGGGGTCAGCCCGACACAGCCGCAATGTCACAGAGGTCACCTCCCTCTGACCCCGGGGGCAGCTGCAGGCGCCCGGGGCGACCCCCTCCCCTCCCAGACGCTCATATCTGGCGGACCAGCCCCCCTCTGTCGGGGGGGGGGGGGTGCTGGTCTGTCTGGACGCTCCAGACGATGTGCCCGGGTCAGACGAATCGATAGTGCCGAATTCCCGGGACCCGTGGCCTCCTCTCCCCTCACCCCGGGGGAGAGGCCAGGGGTGACAGGCGGTCAGGAGGTCAACAGAGGTCATCGGTGAGGTCGGGAGGTCACTGGGGGCCATTGAAGAGGTCACGGGAGGTTACGCCGTAGGGCGGAGGTCATTAAAGAGATCATTAGATATTTCCATTGAGCTGGGGGGTTATTCAAAGGAATGGTAGAGGTTGGCTAGTGACACTGTCAAAAAGTTGGAGACTCCATCTTTTGAGAGTCATCTTTTGAGATGGTGACCTCTGAGGTCAGCCGCCGTCAGGAGGTTACCAGAGGTCAGCGTGGATGGGAACCGGGAGGTCACTGAAGGTTATGCTGGAGGCAGAAGGTTAATCGTGGGTCCTCATCGAGGTCAGGAGGTTATCACTCAACAGAGGTCATTCGCAGAGGTCATTCTGGGGATCAAACAGTTTACATATATCATCGTGAAGGACACTCTAGATTTAGGTAGCCATGTATTGTCATTGAGGTCCGCGGTTAACAAGGGTCACCACGGAGGTTGAGAAGTAACCAGAGGTTGTTGCGGATTGACCTATAGAGGTCACTGAAGGTAATGATGGATGTAGGTTATCGAAGGGCCTTGTATTGGTATTGTATTGTATTGTATTGTATTGACATTGCGTCTCATCCACTAGTGTGGCTTTTCATGAGAACAGGTACAGATATAAAATGTTAACATGGATGAGTGGGAACAAAATCACATCACACTAACTATGCACTCCATTAACATACATGATGTTCAAACATTCGGTCAATCTAGCATCCCTTGTGATTGTATCAAGCCTTCTGAAGGTTTATTAGAGGTCACCGGAGATTATCTTGGTGGTCAGGTCACCAGAGCTAATTGTGAATGTGGATAGGCCAGCTAGGTCGTTGTGGAGGAATTACCCCGCGCACTGACGGGGGTCTGCGCCAACTTCGCACCGACGGGGGGAACGGATAGGTACCTGCCCCCCCCCCCGTGATATCTCGATATTCGAGAACGGAGCAGGCTAGCGACAAGCGTTAAGCGCCATGGGATACAGACGGACAATGTCTACAATTTTTTACTGAGATCATTTTCAGGTCATGTCAAAAATGACGCCAGAGAAGTAAAAAAGAAAGCTAAAATGGTGGCACTAGAAATGAAGAAAGTTTTTAACGAACGGCTTTCGAAGTAATCAAGCTAGGCAAAACTAATAGCACCATCGTCATCCTCTCGTCAAGGCACTGAACACAATGAGACCATTCGCGCGGCTGTATCTCTTTTCTGTAGAGAGTTATTAGAGTTATAGAGAGAGAGTTATAGAGAGCTACCCATGCACCCACAATGTTCCAGCCGTTCCTACGCCCATGGCAATAGGTATAATTGCGGAATTCAATAAGATATCGCATCCAGCACGAAATATGGACGGAATAGAGCTAAAAACGCGTACAACCGTTCTGTCGCAGTAGATCTCGGCCAAGTGTCCCTTCTCTTACGAAGAAAACCGGTACCAACAAACGTCCTTGGCGAAGGACGCCTTGCCGACGATGTGTGCCGCGATAAGACCAGTGACGTCATCGAGCCAGTGACGTCACGGACACAGCTGTCGCGTGTCGCCGCTGTCTGTCTGTGTTGGAGGAGGAGCCTCCATGTCCGGGTGGTGAAGTGGAGATAAATTGTGTGCTTGGCATACGAGCAGCCTAAAGATATTTTTGGCGAGCTAGGCCTCTTGCACCAAACTACCTAGCTAGGTAAAATCGAAAAACCGGTTTCAGAATAAGCTAATCTAACGGTGGTAGATTTGTTTGCAATAGCCCCACACATAATCCTACATGTGCTTGCTAAATTTTGCACGCAAGTTGTTACATTTGAGACTTGGACTGGGTATACCTACGATGCAATATAATGGCCAAGCATTGGTGCAAGAGGCCTCTGTATTGGCGACTGTGTGGTTTCTGCTTTTGAATGTTCGGTTCGTAATTCGTATCTTTACCTAGTCCAAAAAGTAGGGATATTCTTGATATAGCTAATTGCCTAGCAGTTAGTAGGCCTAGTTTTTTTAAGAGTCAAAGATTAGAAACTACAAGGGTGTTGTTGAAAAGGCCATGGTTAGTCATTAAATTCAAATAGAAATGTTTATTCTGCTCTTCCGTACATCTTAACTTGAGCGCATGTTATTTATAGGTAAAGGTATTTAAGTGTGGTATTGGAATGCATCGGCATAGGTCGAATAACGGGTGTAGAAAGGTCATCGTCTTCCCACTCTTTCATTTCTGGATGAACTTTAAAGGAAGGGTGCCACCTTCCGAAATTTTTGTTCTATGAATCTATTTTACTTATTTGAATTTTTAGACGTGGTTAGCGCGTCCACAATATACAAAAAACCGAAACATTGCATTTAATACATTGGCCAAAAAAAAATCGTTGTTTATATCACCACTACAACTCAAGGTCGTTTGATGTGGCAGCTAGGACGGCTGGCATATCCTGTTGTCATGGCAACATATCATTCTGCCATTTGCATTGATGGCGCAACTGAGACAAAAAGATGAACAAATAAAAAGGAAGAAGATAACATGATTTGAACTAAGTTGTAGTAAGTAAGTTGAACTAAGTAAGATACGTCAAAAGAACATCAAATAAGTCGAGTAAAGGTTTTTCCTTTACAATGCTTAAGAGATCTATGGAACCCTTCACCCTTCATGCAACTTACTAGAAAAACTTCCCAATTAAAATTTTAAAACTTAAGTGTATACCATAAAGAAAAAATATACCCTTTCAAAATGATAAAACATGCTTCAAAAGTATAACTTTTATACATACCTTTGCTGATTTCATGTTTTATAAAATACCCTTAACACGACGAGGAAATAGTGCTGAAGATTTTTGCCTGCCCGAATGCTGGCAGCAAAACTCGCAAATGATAACTTCACGTGCGGATTCAATGCTGACCGTCTCGAGCATAGGTAAGTGAAGCCGGTTTTTAGGTTCATGTGAGGCTAATCTTGTAAAAACTGCGTTGTGTCCAAAAGGTGGCACCCTTCCTTTAAGATGAATGTCAGAACACCGATGGCACATTTCCAAAAATTGTATTATCTTCGATACACACTGGTAACTCATCTGGCATCAACCTGTGCCCGATTAGCCAAGATTGGCCGAGACAGCGCCCGTCGGAAAAGCCAAGGTAGCATCTGGCATCCTCCTTTGCCAGATCTCTCCAAGGGCATAATTAACAAACGCAACACATGGACATCAATCAGCAAGCTAATTTCATGCATAATTTTGATCGTCAACTGAACAATTGGCGTAACATATAATCGTCAATTGTAACTCAAGGTCCGGGGCACTATTGGAGCAAAACCAACACGAGTGGAGTTGTACCAACCCAAATTGCACTGTCGCAAACGTAGTAAAAATATTCACACATAAGCTAGTCGAAAAACCTCACAACCAAGCTGGTGGCACGTGCCATTTGGTAAATAAGCCAAACGCACAGAAGTTACGGCGGAACTCACAGCACATAGCATCAGCGGTGGCGACATCTGCAAACCTAAAGGGATGGCGCTTCGAACGGTAGTGGTACTACTGAGACCTATGTATAGGACCTTGGGCTGGAGACTCCTATTTCAGATAATCAGTAGAAATATACAGACAAGAATTATACGTTGATGTTAAACCTTATCAATGAGCCGCATATTTTCAACTTTATAGACAACAATGCGGTGGTATGTTGCATAATTCATCATCATGAGCAGCAGCAGCAACCAGTTTAATAATTACACATTGCAATTGGAGAGCAACGAGGGGCCACTGTAAACGTATCAAAATAATAACAAAATTACCATGAAAATAGCATCAACATTGGCTCTGAAAACCCACAAAAATAAGCGATAATCAATTTGGAATATCTTTAGTGTCACCTAACATCGCAAAAATGTTTTCTTTTCAGCCAATACCTTGGGTAAAGTGTTTGATTCGCCGGCAACAAGACATTGGTACAGGTTACGGCCGATAAAGGTTTAGTGCGAAGTGTAGGCTGTAGCCTCATTCGAGGCACCGGTAACAACCGTAGCATTGACTCAATAGTTTTCCACGAACAACGACACAACACACTGACCTATCATAGCAATAACTGTGACTACTGACTGACCTAGACCGGACATACTACTTACAAAGTTTACCAGACACTCTGATTTGGTCACTAACAACAGAGGAAATGTCATCTCTCACACACCATACAGTCGTACCAACAAGCACCATTGAAAACATCGCTGAATGTGCTCTCACGAGTCACGAACAACACAGAGTAATCACTCATACAATCACACCGACATTGTGATACACTTGTACCACACCCCTACGGGTTCCATGCTCGTCAGTTCCTAGCCGAAAGGGCTGCGAAGGTAGGCCGTTGAGGGCCTCCCAGACAGTGTTGGGTGTGTTACTACCGATTGGAGGCACACCCAAGGGCACACCCGGCTCTGTAGAGAGCCAAGTGTATAAATCTAAGCTGACGTCTTAGCCTGACTGGTAGCTAACTGGCTGACTGAGTTTGATGTTACTCGGTTACACGGGTGACTGTACGGTACTCTAATAACCTGACTCCATTGACTCAAAGCTGTACCCCGATCAACCCCAGCAACCAACATCCCGCCATCAAGCATCCAGTTATCAGTCAACCAGTCGATGCCTAACCATGGCCAGCCTTCAAGGAAACGGCTGTCATAGTTACTGCCACTTGACATTGACTGACTGGGTTACGGTCGTATTGGCACTAATATAATGCTTGTTGGAATCGGGATAAGTCTAACTTCCAGCTTTATCGTCAAACCCCAATGACAACCAGTACAAATACATCCTGACTAAAGACACGTCCTCCAACGTCATATCGATCCACGTCTTTCGCACAACCCATCGTCTCTAGCCACCTCACTCAACAGAACATACCTCCCCTCTCACTGCGCAGAATGGACTCGCCCGCGCTGGTGGCGCCGCTCTGCGGATACCTTCAGAAGCTCAGCACCTGCGGCTTCGTCTCACCAATACACTTTGTGATGCTCCGCAGAAGTCTGACAAAGTTGGTGTCCTTGGGTTTCTCGAGACCTCGGTTAGCTCGTGCCTTCATGACGGCTACGAACTCACGGTTACTAAGCTGGCCGTCATCTGTGAAGGTCAGCGGTCAAGGTCAGGGGTCAAGGTCAGGGGTCAGGGGTTGGGGTTACAGGTTAGCTGTCAAGGCTAGGCATCAAAGTCAGCGTAAGGACAAGACGAGTGGTAAGGTCTGGAAATAAAACTCATAGATTCGGAAAACATGTCTAAAAAAGGTTACAAGCGTGCTGTGTTTTCAATCCTGTGCTGTGCCTCCTAGTGATGATGGTGTTCATGACTGCAGCGGATTAGACCAGATAAGAGCAGATTAGACCAGATTAGAGCGGATTGGAGCGGGCTCTCGGGAGTGGCCTGCAGGAGTCCGCACAAAATAGGCAAAAAAATAACAATAAACACTTTCAAGTTGCTTAGAGCATTGCAGCGGGAGAACGCACCACAACAGCACAACTTAGCCCTTCTCAAGAAGACACCTCCTCACCAAACAAAATAACGGCAACACAGTCCCAATTCCACTGACACTGGTCGCTGTATGTGACGTCACTCATGACGCCACTTGTCAACAGCTGCTCGCGCTAGCACTTACTGTTGTCGTCGAACAGAGTGAATACGATATCCACCACGTGGTCGGAGAGCTCAACACGTGCCACCGTGCGCGCCACGTGTTTCAGCGTCGCTGCGGGTGGCACACGTGTTAATTAGACACGTGGAACGTCACAATACAAACATCGGGGGCGGGGTTATACCCTGTATATGAGACACAGGAGTCAACGGATTTCTGAGCTATACTGAGTGAGTCCATGATAGCCATCGGGAGTCACCTGGGTCTACGCAGAGGGAGTTACGGTCTACACAAATCATATGGTTCTCGCACATGAACACGCCGAGTCTACACATAAGTGATATGGATCTCTCGTTTACAGTAATACATTGGAACTCTATTGCTCCATGACCCTGTAGGTCTACGCTTGTCCCTCGGTTATACAGTAGTCATCAGCTGCTGCGACTATGTTCTAGTCTAGTCACCTGGGTCTAGGATATAATTTAGTCCATTTCATCTAGTCCCCTGTACACTCGGGGGCAGATTGATGTTCCACCATTCCCTACCCATCGGGCTCCCATGGATCAGCAGTGGCTGCTGCCAGTGTTGCCTGCCCTCAGCACTGCTCAGCACAGCCTGCCAATGCCAGTGCTGCCAGTCCTGTCACTGACAGCAGCCAGTGCTGAGCCATGGGAGCCCGATGGGTAGGGAGTGGTGGAACATCAATATATGCCCCCGAGTGTACCTATCTAGTCAAGTCCCCTGTATCTAGTCTTCTATATCTAGTCTAGTCCTCTGTTTGTAGTCCCCTATATCTAGTCTGGTCCTCTGTATCTAGTCTAGTCCTCTGTATCTAGTCACCTGGGTCTAGTCTACCCCCATGTATCTAGTCCTCTATATCTAGTCTAGTCCTCTGTACCTAGTCTAGTCCCTGTATCTAGTTACCTGGGTCAATGGACGCTCCCGCGATATGGTAGAAGGTCAGGGCCGTATCGACATCACAGATACTGTTAAGTAGCTTGTAGAAGTTGTCCGTGATACTACACTAGTCCCATGTATCTAGCCTAGTCCCCTGTATCTAGCCTAGTCCCCTGTATCTAGTCCCATGTATCTAGTCCTCTGTATCTGATCTAGTCCTCTGTATCTAGTACCCTGGGTCTAGTCTAGTCCCCTGCATCTAGTCCTCTGTATCTAGTCTAGCCCCTGTATCTAGTCACCTGGATCTATGGACGCTCCCGCGATATGGTAGAAGGTCAGGGCCGTGTCGACATCACAGATACTGTTAAGTAGCTTGTAGAAGTTGAGGTAGTCGTTCTCAGTGACGCCCACCGCACTCTCCTGTGGGGGTCAGATCAGGGTCAGACCAGGGTCAGATCAGGGTCAGATAAGGATCAGATCAGGGTCAGATCAGGGTCACATAAGGGTCAGATATAAGAGTCAGGTAAGGGTCAGATCAGGGCCAGATAAGGGTCAGATCAGGGTCAGATCAGGTCAGACCAGGGTCAGATCAGGGTCAGGTAAGGGTCAGGTAAGGGTCAGATCAGGGTCAGATGAGGGTCAGATCAGGGTCAGATATAAGGGTCGGGAAACCAGGGCCTGCTTGGGACCAGGAGTAATACTGAGGTCAGAAAGTGATGAGCCATTATTCTGAGGTCCGGGGATCCTATGAGAGTAGGAATTGATCTTGGACCAAAAAATATACCTTTCATCAAATCATAGTTTACCCACTCCACTCCAGTCCATCCTTCCATTCCATTACCACCATTCCACCATTAATCACAATATCCCCCATGTCAAGTCCTTCTACCGTCAAGACGGCGCTCCCCATACTCACCTTGAACTCCCGTTTTACTCTCCTGATCATCTTGAGTTTTCTGTTGGGAGGGTAACCCCCGAAGGTACTCGACACACACCACACGTACCTTAAATTTCCTTTTGACTCTCCGCAGCATCTTGAGTTTTCTGTTGGGCGGGTATCCCCCGAAGGCGAGCAGAAGGTCGGCAAAATCCACCTCTCGGAGACGCCCCTCCTCGTTCGGCTGCTTCCGGCGGAACTGGGGGGGGGGGGAAGAGTTCGTCGTGAATGGAGAGAGAAGAGATAAAAGGTAGAAGGAGGGATGGGGTTTAAAATGTAGGAGAAGAGGCATTATAAATAAGAGTAGATGTAGGTATACAGATTACAATGATAAAGCGGGCTGCGCTATGGAGCTTTTGTGCTTGAATGGTGTTTGAAGCACTGCATTTGAGGCCTTGAATGTCTGAGTTGCTTTAAGTAACACATAGTTGGTAATATACAGCTGATTCCTTACAGATGGAGCCTCGAAGTAGCCGGTAAATCACATTTTGCCGTGCTCCAGCCACCGTTGTCAACATTGGCAGTCTTTGTAACCGTAGCTGGTGTTATATACGGTGTCCCGCGCCTGCGGCACTTCCCCCTGGTGTACAGGGTGTCCCGCCCGCGGCCCTCCCCTTGGTGTACAGGGTGTCCCGCCCGCGGCACTTCCCCCTGGTGTACCGGGTGTCCCGCCTGCGGCACTTCCCCTGGTGTACACGGTGTCCCGCCTGCGGCACTTCCCCCTGGTGTACAGGGTGTCCCGCCTGCGGCACTTCCCCCTGGTGTACAGGGTGTCCCGCCTGCGGCACTTCCCCCTGGTGTACAGGGTGTCCCGTCTGCGGTACTTCCCCCTGGTGTACACGGTGTCCCGCCTGCGGCACTTCCCCCTCGTGTACAGGGTGTCCCGCCTGCGGCACTTCCCCCTGGTGTACAGGGTGTCCCGCCTGCGGCCCTCCCCCTGGTGTACAGGGTGTCCCGCCTGCAGCCCTTCCACCTGGTGTACAGGGTGTCCCGCCCGCGGCACTTCCCCCTGGTGTACAGGGTGTCCCGCCCGCGGCACTTCCCCTGGTTTACAGGGTGTCCCGCCTGCGGCACTTTTCCCTGGTGTACACGGTGTCCCGCCCGCGGCACTTCCCCTGGTGTACAGGGTGTCCCGCCTGCGGCACTTCCCCCTGGTGTACAGGGTGTCCCGCCTGCGGCCCTCCCACCTGGTGTACAGAGTGTCCCGCCTGCAGCACTTTCCCCTGGTGTACAGCGTGTCCCACCTGCGGCCCTTCCCCTGGTGTACAGGGTGTCCCGCCTGCGGCCCTTCCCCTGGTGTACAGGGTGTCCCGCCTGCGGCACTTCCCCTGGTGTAAAGGGTGTCCCGCCCGCGGCACTTCCCCCTGGTGTACAGGGTGTCCCGCCCGCGGCACTTCCCCTGGTTTACAGGGTGTCCCGCCTGCGGCACTTTTCCCTGGTGTACACGGTGTCCCGCCCGCGGCACTTCCCCTGGTGTACAGGGTGTCCCGCCTGCGGCACTTCCCCCTGGTGTACAGGGTGTCCCGCCTGCGTCCCTCCCCTTTGGTGTACAGGGTGTCCCGCCTGCGGCACTTTTCCCTGGTGTACACGGTGTCCCGCCCGCGGCACTTCCCCTGGTGTACAGGGTGTCCCGCCTGCGGCACTTCCCCCTGGTGTACACGGTGTCCCGCCTGCGGCACTTCCCCCTGGTGTACAGGGTGTCCCGCCTGCGGCACTTCCCCCTGGTGTACAGGGTGTCCCGCCTGCGGCACTTCCCCCTGGTGTACACGGTGTCCCGCCTGCGGCCTCCCTGGTGTACATGGTGTCCCGCCTCCGTCCCTTCCCCCTGGGGTGTATCGGTTTTCCTGTCCCATTCCACCCCATGTGCCGTCCCATTCCTGCCCCATTCCATTCCATGTGTCGTCCCATTCCATCCCATGTGTCGTCCCATTCCTGCCCCATTCCATTCCATGTGTCGTCCCATTCCATCCCATGTGCCGTCCCATCCACCTACCTGCTGTTTTAAACGGAGGCGGGGGGGGGGGGGGGTAAAACACCCCAGGCTCAGCGCGGGTTAAGGCCGCCCACACTGGACCTCGCATGCGGGTTGCGAGTTTTTGGGTTTTCGGGTTTCTTCAAAATCAAATAATACGATCTAAGCTGAGTGACCCACACTACCATCTAACAAGCGAGTCTGCATGTTTTTAGCTTGCGAGCGACCTTGCATCGCATTCCAAAAGTTGATTTTGAGTCACCTTACGATTTTCCTCGCTGCGAGGTCAGCGAGTTCTGCGAGATTTGCGGGTTTTTCGCTGGAGTCGATTTTTGGTTCGTTGAGCTGGTATTGCGACTATATGCAAGTTTCTGAAGATGTACCGGCTTCACTGATGTACCGGCTTAATCACTCTATGAATTAATATTATGCCCGCACACTTAAAACCCGCAAACTCGCAACCCGCAAGCGAGTTCCAGTGTGGGGCGGCCTTTAATATCGCTCAAAGGCCTATTTAAGTTTTTGCAGTGACATGGTATATTTTGACATCTTTGCATACGTCATTATTTGCTATAACACTGAAACTATAAGAAAACATCCCCTGCTTACTTTCTGTTTTCCTGTATCTTTTCCCTTAGCTTTCAAAAGTCATTGTGAACGGGAGTGCCATGAGCGGCAAGAAGACCCTTGCAACATGCCGGTCCGCGTAGTGTAAATGTTTATCGCCGAGTCTGTCGGTCACGGGACCGGGCCGCGTGACCGGATGTGGTGCCTCTGATAGGGGTCAGCCGCACCGAGCTGTGCAGACGTCCCGCCAGCTCCGAGCCGTCAGTCCGAGGTCGGCAGCCGGTGCCAGAGGTGTCTCCTACTGAGCCACCATGGCTAGAGGGTGGAGAGGAATCTTCGTGTCGACCCTGCTGGTGGCGTCTGCCGGCTGTTCAGCGGCGCAGCAGCAGCAGCAGCAGCAGCAGCAGCAGCAGCAGCAGCAGCAGCAGCAGCAGCAGCAGCAGCAGCAGCCGGCCGCCCTGCCCAGCACCACTGCCGACCAGGTGTTCAGCATCATCGCTAGAGCAGTTCAGCAAGAGCTTCGGCCAGTCGTCAGAAGAATCGAGTCACAAGTGGAGTCGCTGGACAAAGTCGTCAAAAAGCTCGAGTCCCGTGTGGAGTCGCTGGACAACAGACTGACTCTGCTCGACTCTCGAGTCACTGAATGGACCACCCACATCTTGAGGAGCAGACAGAATGAGCAGCTGGAAGAGTTGTCCAGTCAACTGACTGGAATCACTGCGAGACTCGACAGCCAGCAATCTCAACTGAGCGAGCTCAACACCCAGCTGAGCGAACAGAAATCCCAACAAGAGGAGACTGCAGTCACAGTGAATAACGTCACAGCGCAACTGGATAGCATCGTTACACAGCAGGGAGATCAACTCACAGAGACATCCCAACTGGCTACAAGGCTCGACAACCAGCAATCACAACTGAGTGAGCTCAACACCCAGCTGAGCGAACAGAAATCCCAACAAGAGGAGACTGCAGCCACAATGAACAACAATACAGAACGACTAGAATCCAACGTGACTTGGCTGGAAAAGCAGCTAACAAAGGTGTCTGGACTGGCCAACAGGCTCGACAGGCAGCAATCACAACTGAACCAGCTCAGTGACCAACTGAATGAGCTAAAATCAGTTCAGAACGTGACTGCCGTCACAATGGATAATCATACAACACTTCTTGATGTCACGACATCCCAGATTGTCACTCTAGGGTCCCAGCTGGCTGAAACCATGAATAAGACAGCAGTCATACAGGACAGCATAGATCACCTGGCTCCGGAGGTAAAGCAGCTGTCCCCTCCCCGTGATTGCAGCGACATTCCTGTCGGCTCCCCATCTGGAGTTTACCTCCTCAGGCCCAGTGGCGACATCCAACAACCATCCGTCCAGGCGTACTGCGACATGAGCACTGCCCGAGGGAGATGGACGGTGATCCAGCGGAGAGACGACATCCAGCCCCACCAGGACTTCTACCTGGGGTGGAAGGAGTATAAGGAGGGCTTTGGGAACCTATCCCAAGAATTCTGGTGGGGTTTGGAGAAAATGTGGCAGCTGACATCATACCAACAGTACGAGCTTCGTGTTGACCTCGAGGCATTTGACGGCAGCCGCAGATACGCTACCTATCAAGAATTCCGTATCTCGTCTGAGCTGGACGGCTACAGACTGGGCTATACCAGCTACTCGGGAACTGCCGGGGATGGTCTGCAGTACAGCGTCAATCAGAAGTTCTCTACCCGTGACCGTGACCAGGATACCTGGTCTGACGATAACTGTGCACAGGACCATCAGGGTGCCTGGTGGTACGGCGGGTGCGGGTGGAGCAGCCTGAACGGACGGTACCTGGACAGCGGTAATAGGGACAGGACTGGAATATGGTGGGTGAAGTGGAGGGGACTGCAGTCACTGAAGAGCACTGAAATGAAGATCAGACCCACCTAACTGACGCACACACAGAAGGCGGATCACCACTGCGATGTACGTACAGCTGCTGGTGACGCGTTCACAAAGCGACGGTCGAGGCCTTCGACTCTCTGAAGCTGCTGTGTGCGGGCAGAACTCTACCGACAATCTAATGTGAAATTGTACGCCGGAGAACTTAGTGTAGGCTTTTCTACGGACCACAAATAACGTCTGTATATGTGTCTCTATATCCATAATGCCTGCTTTGTACTGTTAACCAACCACTATATGCATTTGATAATCATTAAATGTGTGCGGAAATAAACTTTTGTACCACCGAGAGGCGGTAAAATGTGTTGCTCGTTCGACACAGATGAACCGAACCCACACCAAACAGTAGATTAACCCCGCTGGCTAGACGAAAAATAAAAAACGACGTAAGTAAATCAGCTCTTCTGTGTGTAGTTAGGCCAGTTATGCATCATAGGCCAGTCGTGTTTGAGGCGGGACACGATTCGATTACCTATGTTGTTTGTTTCATCCTTTTTTGTGGTATCGGCTTACCAAAAAAAAAAAAATCACAAGATCACGAGACAGACTAGCAGGGCTGCGGAGTCGGAGTCGGAGTCGGAGTTGGAGTCGGTCGGAGTCGACAGTTTTGCCCGGAGTCGGAGTCGGAGTCGCCCAAATCTTACCGACTCCGACTCCGGAGTCAGAGTTAACGCTGCACGGCTCAACGTCATGCACTGCACCTGTTTGATTGACGATAACTTTTGATTGATAACTAACTCTTTGATTGATAAGTCATCACGACGTTTGATGACTCGAAATTAGATTTTGTCGAAAATAGGTCATTTTTTCTGTTTTGGACATACGTTTTCAGCGAAAGAAGCAGAAGACGGTGAATGCCCCAGAACCTGCTTTTTAAATCTGCATGTTATTTTTAATGCATATTTGGCGCAACACAAAGCCTTTGGAACGCATATGGGATCGTTTCAGGCAAGATAAAAATATCTCCATTATGAGCTTCAATATCATGATATGGGTAGGTATTCATAGAACCATCCGGAGTCGTAGTCGGAGTCGATTTTTGAAGCCGGAGTCGGAGTCGGAGTCGGAGTCACCCTAAAATCCATCGACTCCGCAGCCCTGCAGACTAGTAAAGCTCAATGTTTTATATAACCCACAGGCTCGAAGAATAAAATGAAGGTTGTATCAACAAATATAAACGAGTCGTCTCACACATTTTTTTTCTCATTCCAAGGAAGAAGCGAACCCTAGATTCCCAGAACATTATAAGACCACCCTAAAGAGACGCTGCTGCACAAAGAGAGCTCCAAACAACCAGACTGAGGTCTATATTTCAAGCCCGGTGATTACAATAACACCTAGCCCGTCCCACCCACCTCCAGACAGAGTATCTCTCTCTGTAGCTGGCTCTGGAAGTCGAGGAACCCACCCACCTCCAGACAGAGTATCTCTCTCTGTAGCTGGCTCTGGAAGTCGAGGAACCCACCCACCTCCAGACAGAGTATCTCTCTCTGTAGCTGGCTCTGGAAGTCGAGGAACCCACCCACCTCCAGACAGAGTATCTCTCTCTGTAGCTGGCTCTGGAAGTCGAGGAACCCACCCACCTCCAGACAGAGTATCTCTCTCTGTAGCTGGCTCTGGAAGTCGAGGAACCCACCCACCTCCAGACAGAGTATCTCTCTCTCTGTAGCTGGCTCTGGAAGTCGAGGAACCCACCCACCTCCAGACAGAGTATCTCTCTCTCTGTAGCTGGCTCTGGAAGTCGAGGAACCCACCCACCTCCAGACAGAGTATCTCTCTCTCTGTAGCTGGCTCTGGAAGTCGAGGAACCCACCCACCTCCAGACAGAGTATCTCTCTCTGTAGCTGGCTCTGGAAGTCGAGGAACCCACCCACCTCCAGACAGAGTATCTCTCTCTGTAGCTGGCTCTGGAAGTCGAGGAACCCACCCACCTCCAGACAGAGTATCTCTCTCTGTAGCTGGCTCTGGAAGTCGAGGAACCCACCCACCTCCAGACAGAGTATCTCTCTCTGTAGCTGGCTCTGGAAGTCGAGGAACCCACCCACCTCCAGACAGAGTATCTCTCTCTCTCTGTAGCTGGCTCTGGAAGTCGAGGAACCCACCCACCTCCAGACAGAGTATCTCTCTCTGTAGCTGGCTCTGGAAGTCGAGGAACCCACCCACCTCCAGACAGAGTATCTCTCTCTGTAGCTGGCTCTGGAAGTCGAGGAACCCACCCACCTCCAGACAGAGTATCTCTCTCTGTAGCTGGCTCTGGAAGTCGAGGAACCCACCCACCTCCAGACAGAGTATCTCTCTCTGTAGCTGGCTCTGGAAGTCGAGGAACCCACCCACCTCCAGACAGAGTATCTCTCTCTGTAGCTGGCTCTGGAAGTCGAGGAACCCACCCACCTCCAGACAGAGTATCTCTCTCTGTAGCTGGCTCTGGAAGTCGAGGAACCCACCCACCTCCAGACAGAGTATCTCTCTCTGTAGCTGGCTCTGGAAGTCGAGGAACCCACCCACCTCCAGACAGAGTATCTCTCTCTGTAGCTGGCTCTGGAAGTCGAGGAACCCACCCACCTCCAGACAGAGTATCTCTCTCTGTAGCTGGCTCTGGAAGTCGAGGAACCCACCCACCTCCAGACAGAGTATCTCTCTCTGTAGCTGGCTCTGGAAGTCGAGGAACCCACCCACCTCCAGACAGAGTATCTCTCTCTGTAGCTGGCTCTGGAAGTCGAGGAACCCACCCACCTCCAGACAGAGTATCTCTCTCTCTGTAGCTGGCTCTGGAAGTCGAGGAACCCACCCACCTCCAGACAGAGTATCTCTCTCTGTAGCTGGCTCTGGAAGTCGAGGAACTTCTCAATAGTCAGCTTCTTGTCCAGCTTCGGGCCGAAGAAGTAGGTAGACAGAGCTGAGTTGATGCCCTGACGGCAGACAGGTTGGAGCTGGAGTTGAAGTTGGAGTTGGAGCTCGGTCAGGGCGCGCGTTTAGAGATAAAGACACATGGGAGGAGAATCAAAATAGGTACTGACGGTCAAATTGAAATGGCCATGGTCAGTTTTATCATGAGCGTCAGCTCAATCTGATAATAACCAGTATAACGCCTTTTGGGGCGAGTAACGGAGCGAGCGAGAGGGTGAGCCTTGCACGTGCGAAATTTCGAGGGGGTACCTCCAACTGACTTGTGCACGGCACCCTACTAACCGGTCTCTAGCGATGTGCCAAATTTGAGCACAATCGGCCCAGCCGTTCTCGAGATCTGGAAGCGGCACCCTGCACGTGCGCACGTGCAAAATGGGTCCCGATTGACGTTTGCACGGCACCCTACTAACCGGTCCCTAACTGTGTACCAAATTTGAGCGCAATCGGTCGAGCCGTTCTCGAGATCTGGAAACGACCCCTGCACGTGCGCACGTGCAGCAGCACCCCAACTCTGGCACATGGATATGCAGTGCCTAGTGGTTGCCTACCTACATGCAAACTTTCAGCGCAATCGGCCAAGTAGTTACCGAGATATTGCAACAATTACAAAACTGACACCTCTTCGTTTTGCACGTGGCACGTGCATAAGGGGTCACCCACATGCATCGGGAATAGTCCAATACTTGGTAGAAGGAATGAAGCTACCCTACAAAAATTACCGCGTGTAAATCGGTCAAGTGGTTGCTGAGATATAAGCCTCGCAAAAGCGTCCGCACGGCCGGCCGGCCGCTCATACTCAGAAATTTCCGTTATGGCCCTTTCACACGTAGCAACTTTTCAGTCGCCGGCGACAGCAGCAGTCGCCGGCGACCGCCAGCGACCGCCAGCCAACGATCGTGTGTGACGTAGGTATGACGTAAGCAAGTCGGTGGCGATCGCCGGGCCACGGCCGGGCTGTGGGCCGGGCAATCGCCAGCAACTGGTGACGTCAGATCCGCGTCACAGGCCAGTCGCCGGCGACTCTTCTCGAGCAGCGGACGCCGCCATGACAGTTTTGTCCTTGGTGAGTGGTTTAGGTGATTTGTGATGCATTTTTGGTTGGTGTGGCTACCTTAAATTTGTTGCACAGTAGCATAGGGATTATTATCTTGTAGTTTGCCTGTCGTGAAGCTGTTGTGACTTGAATTTAAGCTTGATTCGACAATATTGGAGGGTTTATGTCATTTGTGGCGCACTTGCCCATGATCACCCATGATTTTTATTTGTGATGAATATGTATTTTTTCATCAAAATTGAATATTTTAATGACATTGAAATTGACACTAGTTTCATAAGGTAATGAAAACTTGCTTGTTGTGTCACAAGAACATGGTTTATATTCAGTATCAGTGCCCTTGAGGACAAAGTGCCTACCCATCACTCACATCAGTCAGCTATTTGCCTACGTATTCGTGCGACACAAGGAAATATTTGATAGCAACAAAATATTATATTGCTGCTCATTAATTAGCATGATCAAAATCAAACAGGTAGCTTTGCAATTTTGTTATTGTTTCTGCTGGAGTTTTCCTTGGTACCATGGATAAACAACCCAGGCCAAACTTAATCCGCATTGGGTTCGCATGTGTGTGCGTGCTCACATGGCAAATGATAATCCATGGCTTATTAGTACATAAATAATTGCATTATGCACAGTAGATGGTAGGTATGTCATGTATTTTGGCAAGGTATTAGGTGGTATGTATTTTGGCCCTGGAGCTGTTTCCTATTCATTGCAGCAATGCTGCCGTCATGGCTTATGTGTACCATGCGCACACAAGCTCCACCAATGTAAAAATGTTGTTTTCACACAAAACTCATAATTGGAGGAAGGTAGAGCAGACCAAGAATAAGCGGGCATTTGCTGCAGTGTGGAAAAAGTCACTAGAGGCTTGATACTTTTTTACATGCAGCAGCCTGGAGATGTCCACAGAGGCATGCCTGAGGATGTCCACAGAGGTGAATCCAGGCAATAGTTTTTACAATCTTCTCCCCTTGTGCCCGCTGTGTGTTGTGCTGACTGAATGTCCCCCTTCTGGTGGTGCCTAGACTTGCCTCTGCATATCTCCCCAGGCTGCTGCATAATGTCAAAAAAAAAACCCTCAAGCCTCTAGTGACTTTAATCACTCCAGTCTCTACAGCATATGCCCACTCATGCTACAGCTGCCTTAATAATACCAAAATTAGTAACAATGGTCTCATAACCATATTCAGTAGGAAATGAATTACCTAGAAAATTATATTTAAAAATACACTTGCTTTCAAAAAGAATGAGCACTGCTAAAATGCTATTATTTCAAATAATGCTAGGTTTCTGAACCACAAATTCCAATTCTGTGTCACTGAATACTGATTGCCAATTGCACAAGACAAAAAGCATCAACAATGCTACATCAAGGATAATGATGCTAAGATAGTTCTCATTTTAGCCTGAAGTGTAAAAACCAAACCTAACCTGATTTGGGTATTTGGGTAAACCAAGCCTAACCTGATTTGGGTATTTGGGTAGTTTTTATGATGCTAAGCAATAGCCTATTCCAGGCTTCCTAATTTGCAGAGCTTTTGGTTAAAAAATGATTTTTAAAAATGTATTTGAAGTATGTTCTGACATGTCCGCCCTCTGTGCCTGGCAGACAAGTCACAGCGTTACCTGATGAGTCAAGAGGTTCTGTACCTGATGTACCTGATCAAGAGTACCTGATGATTCTGCAACACCACCTGATGGCCAACTCGACGGCATTGCTGACCCGAAAAGGAGTCTAGCAGCTGAATGTTCAACTTCTGCCGTTGACTCTGCCTAGAGACAGCATCTGCACCACGGCCCACAGACGATCTTCCGTGGGACGGTGTGCTGCGCACCAGTCACCACACTGACGGCGTTCACCTGTGTGCTGCACAACTTTCTGTGAGGTCAGGAGATCGACACTGACGGCCCCGGACGGTGTGCTCTGATTGCGCCGAGTGTGCTCCCTCGTGTCCGGGCCTTGATGCCAATACCGCACGCGAGGCGGCGCGCGTCCGCCAAGCCCTCACATACTGCGTCCAAGGTGCAGGTGGTGTTCGGTGACAGTGTGCAGCTTCTGCCGGCCCCGTGGACGGCACCGCATGTGACCATGGCATGTGCATTCGATTTTCTGACATAAGTGCAGTGAATTCATTTGTCATTTTGCTTCTGAATGGTGTCGCCGCTCGGTAGGGTCGATTCTGCCAGAGTAAAGAGGTCGCCACGATCGGCGGCGGTGGGCGGTGCGGCAAGCCGGAGCAAGGCACTCAGCAATCAGCTGCCGGGAGGTGGCGGCGGCGGCGGCGGCTGACGACTCGGGCCTCGAAAATCCTGTCGTGTGCGTTGCTGGCTATTATGCGTTGTTGGTGTGCGCTGTTTTGCAAGGCCTTTGGAGCGGCATGTCGAGTTTTGGACGAAGGAGCCTTGGTGTTTTGTTGGTCTATTTTCGATAAAAACGGTCATGAAGAGTGAGCTGTGTCCAGGCTGATTTTAAGATTTCTGTCACAGTGTTGTCACCTTTGACCTAGGCTTGTGTCTTCTTGGGTATCGGCATATTGTGCCACCGTCTTTGCCCCGTGTCCGCGCGTGCTGCATTTTTATGTATGGTGTCATATACTGTCACCTCGCCATGTTTAGTGATATCCACTGTGTGGAAAAATGCATTTTGTTATAAGGGGGGGGGGGTACACTTGTGTTCCCCAATCCAGCGCTTTAGATAATACAGCATCTGTTTTTGACATAATGAAAGCCTGTGTTTTATGTGGGTGGTGGGCTTCGCCGTTCCTCAGGTCCGTTTCTGGCATTTGAATTTCTGCTACATTTCTAGAATGCCTTTTTTCTGTTTTTCATATACAAAGCACGGTTCAAATGTGTGACCACAAATCACTGTGATTGTCCCATGCTTACCACCAACCATTCCTTCAATGCTAATGTCGTTACAGCGAAGTTATTCATTTATTGAGAACAGGGTTGTAGTTGAATAAACAAGACAGGTGAGCAAAATCTGCAGCACTCGTAGTCTTGGCTGATGCGTTAGGAAAAATGGAGGAACTGCAAGTACACATCACTTTTCAGTTTTATGCTTGAGTGCATTGAATTCCAATGTAGAAGAATCGCAGTTTGATTGTATTTTCATTGATATTATGTATTGTTTCAATAATACTCGTAGATCTAATAAATATTATTCCAATATTACCTAGACGGTAGTTATCATCCTGCAAAACATGTCCAAATATTTAGTACCTTGAATAATGCAGTAAAATAAGCTGCGCCGCTGCATGTATCAGCAGCGCAATATCTGGTGCCAACTCAAGGTCAAGCGGGTCACGTGACAGCTGAGCGGCGGCTGGCTAGTACAGTCGCCGGCGACTTCAAAATGTTGGAAAAATTGAACTTTCTCGGCAACGCCGACAACTCTTCAATGATTGGCTGACACGACTGCTACGTCACACCCCGGCGACTGGTCAGCTGATATCGACAACTGCGGAGTTGCCGGCGACTGACCCCGGTCGCTGGCGATCGCCGGCGACTGACCCCGGTCGCTGGCGATCGCCGGCGACAGTTGCCGTCGCCGGCGACCGGAAAAGTTGCTACGTGTGAAAGGGCCATTAATCTAAGGAAAGACTACGCTCGCTTCGCTCGCTCCGTAACAATCTGATAATAATAACCAACACTGTACTCTAGCCCGAGTAAAATCGACATACTTTCATGATCAAGTACCGACAAAAAAAGTCTACTTACAGCAATAAATATGAATCTCATGGACAAATCCTATCACACACAGTGAGCGATCTCTTCCAGATCTTTCGCTCAAGTTCACGTAGAAAACTTTTCGATAACTTTTCAAACGCTATTTTCACTGAAGCCTGAGCCCTTTTCACTCGAGCCTGTGACCTGCACACGCCTCCTCTCTTAACGTGAGCACGTCGTCTCCCTGCCTCACCCTGAAGGTGCTCCCGGTGGTATTGTGGTCCCTGTGACGGGCGCCCACAGAGGTCTGCTGTCTGATCAGAGCGGAGACCTTCTCGAATTCCTCACTATCGACATCTCCGTCTCCGTTAAAGTCAAACATCTGGAACGCTATCTCAAACTGCCGGCTGGAGGCTGTGGGGGAGGGAGAGAGAGAGAGGGGGGAGAGAGGGAGAGAGAGAGAGAGAGAGAGAGAGAGAGAGAGAGAGAGAGAGGGAGGAGGGAATGTCATTACACTATTTAATGTTTACCTTAACAGACAATCGATTGACGAATTGACAAAGCTAAATGTAAAATGCATGAATAGTAATGAATACGCTGAAGTCAACAAAACAAAAACACTACACGGTTAAATGACTGGTAAAATGCTGAAAATTGTCTTCTTTACGGTGTTTTAAACATTAAGCAAAGCATCATTCATTTCTTGTCAAGCAATGATTTAGCAATGATTTAGCAAGCAATGATTTTACTTGTCATGCTGTAAAATGTTGAAAAAGCCAAACAATTAGAACAAATCTCCGTGCTGAAAACAGCATGGTCTCGGATGAGTTTCCCTTTACTCGACATGATTGTGACAAAGAAGATGTTTGCTCACTCGACATGATTGTGACAAAGAAGATGTTTGCTTATTCGACGATTGTGACAAAGAGATGTTTGCTTACTCGACATGATTGTGAATGAAGTAATCCGAGAAGAGATCAGTCCGTGACTGCCGAGCTTGTAGAAGATGCTGTCCGGGTCCAGCTCCAACTGAAGGTCGTCAGCAATGTTCTGCACGTTCAGCAACACGACGAAAAACGGCGTCAGCGGCGTAGAAGGTAGAAAAATGTAGGTATTCGCGGGCATGAGGCTTGGTGAAGCTAAAATGAAGATCACGATCAGTTTTGTTTGGTTTTCTTTTA